AAAGGAAAGGAAAGGAAAGGAAAGGAAAGGAAAGGAAAGGAAAGGAAAGGAAAGGAAAGGAAAGGAAAGGAAAGGAAAGGAAAGGAAAGGAAAGGGATGTAGATATAAAATAATTAGAGTAACTAATCCTAGGAATTGGCTGCATTGCTCCTGTGACATTTCCAGTTTGTACTTCACAATTTTTCAACCAAGCATTTTTTAAGAATATGGAGGAGAAATGCCAACTTTCCATTAAGCTTCGGTGCCTTGCCTCAGATTTGCTGTAAGTGGCAGAACAAATCAGTGATTAAATGCTCAGAAAAAAATGCCTGAGATGCTCTTAGCTACCATAAGAAGACAAGGAGATCAGTTTCTTTGCCAAATGTTGCACGGGGCATGCTTAGCTTGGTCACATCCAAACGTGTGTTCCTGATGGTGGTTAAGAAATCAGAGTGCATGTAAACACTCCAAGGATTTTGAAAAGAGCTGCTAATCCTATCAATTAGGCATCCAGGATAACCTCTGGAGTCCAGTATGATACTTCCATGAGCTACGGACATGAATCTGATCTCCCTGTTGCCAGTGCACATGAGAGGGACCATCAAACTCAATGGCAAATCACAGCTATGAATAAAAGCACCCATTTTCTTTGTCTGACTTTACTGAATATAAATCAAGGCACAGTCATGCTAACTGCATCATACACATCCAGGTGACAGCAACTTTCTCCGTGCCTGAGACAAGAGAAAATATTGTTCAACTCTGATCATCATCTTTATTGTGTGCCAGCCAGACGATACACATTTCATGCAGACTATACGTTTGATCCAGCCGTCGCTCAGAAGAAAACGCTTGACTTCATGCGCGCTGCTCCTGCTCTAAGGTACTTGATTCTTGGTCTATAGCACCAGTGGGTTTCTCAGGGGTTCTGCAAGTAGAGAAAGAGCATCATTGCAAAGCTGTTAGAGCAACTAGGTGGTGTAAGACAGCAAAACGCATCTCCCGAGCCAGAATTTGCCCCGTGGCACCTCAGCCTGAGGAATGCTCCCCATGCAGCCCATATGTGTTTGTGTGTTCTCAGGATGACCAATGAGCCTGGTTCTGTTCCCCATAAGGAGAAGGTCCAAATCCCATGGAAGATATGCAGCTGAAGGCTACAGAATTCAGAGGGCCAAAGCTCTTAACTTTTTCCTCAGGCCCTGGTTCATATGGGACCAGGATCAGGCYCATTGGTCAGCTATGACAAATGCTTGCCAATTGATTATAACCTGCAATGAAAGAGCACCTCGCCATAAAATTGTCTCAAGAAGAAGCAGTTCATGTCCCTCAAGGTAGCCCTACAACACAGGAGAGTCTTTTCCTGCTGCTCAGGAAATGCCTGGCGACCATTAAAGCAACCAGAATGACAGAGAGCCCAGCTAATATATGCTGAGGTCTCACTTAAGAGCACCCCTCCAGCTCTGTGTCCCCAGGAGACACTAGGAGGTGCCGGCAGAACCAAAGCATTGGATCCATGTTGGGATCAGCTCTGGAGCTAGTTCTCTTCTTAGGGTARAGAGAGGTGCATCACATTTCAGTTGCTGAGGATCTAGTTTCATATGCTACAGAGAAATTACAACTCCTGGAGAGGAGATTTGCTCTAGACTTGGGCAGAAGCACAGGAGGACATGGCCCTAAAGCTTGGGTGGGTGCTCTTAGGAGGATCTCTGAATGAGTGTTGGAGAGAAGGATGGGTCTTATTGAGGTGCAGCAGAGACCAGGAAAGAAAGGTCTGTGGGTTGTGAAGGAATCCACCTTCATCAGGTGACAGAAAGAGAAGGAAGATCTCCAGGGCTGAGAACTGCTATGGATGGAGAGGGATATGTAAGGCTGCAGGAAGGAGGTGGAGAAGCAGGAGAAAACTGCTCAGCTTTGCATGGTAAGTGCATGAAGGGGCTGTGGAGGTGACTTTCTTCCCCTAGCCTGGCCTTGGCTTTGTGTCAGGAATGATTCCAGCTCAGAGCTGTGCAACAGCCTGACCAGGAGAACAGATGCAAGTCACCATTTCCCTGGCTTGTAACATGGGCAACCCAGACATGTGAGATTAACCTTCATCATTGAAAGACTCGTGAGACAGGACCATGTGAAGAGCCACAGCAGGACAGCTTTTGCTCAAATACTCACCCTCATCCTGCCCTTCATGCTTATAGTGAAGACAGATTTGCTGCCAGAAGCTGTTGGCAGAGGTCAACAAGACCGGTGTACCCAATGATCACTGTRTAGGAGATAAACTGTGTAGAAAAACAGTTGAGTTCTTCCTACCTAYTGGTTCCTGTCCCTGGGAAGGAGGAGTCCCCAGCACTGCAGATCCAGGAGATCAGGGGAACATTCRGGGCAGCTCCTCCTGCAGCAGCCTCAGTGCAATACATTGCTGTTGAGACTGCCACGATAGCTGGTGTGTGTTTGAATGACGGATACTTCCCAGTTTTAATCCGCAGGCTCTTTTCTTATGAGTCCTCTTGGAGCAGAAAGAAGCCAGGTGCCATCCCCGTCCCCTGGCTTCCTCTTTGTTTGCATTTCATGMGAGATCGGGCTAAAGATAATCATGCAATTGTCCTTCCCAGCAAAGCTCATTCAGAACCTGTTTTAAGCTGGCAGGGGTGGGTGGAAAGTAATTATGCTGTTTTTCTCCTGAAAGCCCAGGGACAAAGCAGCATTGCAGGCATCCCGCCAGGAAAGGACCAGCCCCAGCTGCCCCTGCAGCCCAGCAGTGATGTGAGAAATGAGCTGGGAGGACACAGCATCTATTGCCAGGGCAATCAAGGATGAAAAGACGGATCCTGCAATGGAAAGATGGATCCTGAGTCTTTAGCACAAAAGTGACAGTGTTTACAAACTGTCATCTTACACCAGACAAGGTGTAAGTTTGTAGAGCTTTGCACTCAGACCGTTGGCAGCAAATTGTTGTCTTGATGAAACCCAGGTCTCAACGCAGGGGAGGTTAATTATGCACCGTGAMAAGGTGAAAACTGGAGAACGGATGGATTGGAGGTGACAGATCATTACCCAGGTTGCAGCTCTGAGATGACTGCAGAAAAAGTCATAATAAGAAATTCATCAGTAGTCTGTTTTTTTTTTTTTTTCAAAAAAACCCTTGTATCTGATGGTAACAGGCCTCAGCCTTATTTATTCTATTTATTCTGTTTATTCTGTTCTGCACAGGTATCCAGGATCTGCTCAAGTCTGATCCAAGTTCCTCTGTGGATTTTGAATTTTGCTTTTTGGTGACCTCTTATCAAAAAATGGCTGATAATATTTACTCTTCTGTGCAAAAATATCTTCATTCAAATTAGTTTAATTGTTTGGGAGCTCCTCTGAACCAGAGTAAAAAGTCAAATCCTGGCATAAGAAAGTAAAAAGTTTCCTTCAAGAGCAAATAAAAGCAGCAGAAATTTTTCTTCTGCTAGCTCAGGAAAAGCAACCCAGCCCTGGTTAGACTTCTTAGCTTCAAAGTCCAAGAAAAGACCATTTTTCACAAAGGAACAAGAGAATTTTGTCCTTTCTTTTCCAAGAAATTCAAGTGAGGATGCGGCGCTTCTCCTTGGAATAATGACCTTCCCAGTTAGGACCCTCACCTAGAATCCAGGTTCATCTTCCGCAGAAGATATGAACTCATCGATTCCTTGGCAAATGCTTTAACAATTAAGTTGTAGGATATGCTGAATCACTTCTTTCTTCTAAGTACATTATTGCCCTTTGTGCACCAAAGTCTTCTTTGCCCTGGTAAATGGCCTTAACATTTTACTCAAAAACTATTCTCAATTCCATTTTTTCGAAAAGGCAACAGCAATAAAAAATGGAAGCTGTACATTAGGGCTGTAGTCTTGTGTCTTCCAAAAAGATGTGAGGAATTAGTGCATTCCCAGGAGGTTGGCAAGTCTGAGATTTGGTCTCCCTCATGCAAATGAAGGTTTTCAGCCTGGTTCTGGATATAGTAAGTAGAGAGGTTGTTAGGATAGAGATTGTTGCATAGATTGGGTATATCCTGGAAATGTGCACCAGATTGGGGTCAATAAAGATCTAAGGAGAAGAAAGTTTGGTGGTGAAATCTAACCCAATGTATCCCTCAGATGACCAACAAGCAGCTCAGCACTTCAGAACCTAAAGAGTGTCCATCTGCCAAACAGCAGATATACAGGTACGTAGATTTTATTAGAGGATAAATGACTTCAAGGTGTCTTCAAGGTCAGCTAGGGACATCAGTGGCATGCAAAAATCTTGTCCTAAATATTACTCAATMCTTAACACTCTGCAGAAGAGATTTGGGATGTTATTATAGGTTGCTCTACAGCTTTTTCACTCTTGGATGCTAAAATAAGAGTTTGGAGAAAAAGAAGTCACCATGGAAGCATGTCAGGTAGGAACAGTTTGTGGTGACACCTAGAAAGGGATAAAAGCCTCTACCTACAATATGTGACCCTCTTTCCCACTTCTTTCCAGTATCTACATTCAATTCATTAGAGCCCAGAGATGTCAAGTACAACCCTGCAGCAGGTCTCACTTGTCTTTGATGAAAACTCCAGGCTCCTCATGGAGGAGGGCCAGACTTCCATACGTATTTCTTCTCCTCTGTCTACTCCTGCACATCACTGCAGAAAGCCCAAGGGATTGAGAGCTGTTTGATCCTCCTCCCAGGCCTGTCCACCAACAAGGCATAACTTGGCCTAGTTTTTGTCTCCAGACCTAACTTCTGCACATGCCACATGCGAGCTTAGCTGCTCATTTGGCATGGAAAGGAGTCTCCTTTGCTTTCTGGTAGGGTGGTCCTGCATCACCTGCAATGAGAGTCACAGTAAGGGTACAAAAACTGAGCCCATCCTGTAACTTCCATGTGAGTGTGGAGCAACATGGTCACCATGTACATTGATAGTGCCAAAAACAGACCAAAGTAGCAGTTTCAAGCAAAAAAATAGGACAAGAATGGCTGGCAGTGAGCCAGGAAGGAGGTAGGACCCACCTGGGACTCGGTCAGTCAGAACTCGGTCCCTGCTGTACTCACAGGATGAAAGGATCGTGTGCAGGTCTAGCCCTAGCAAGGGATGGACATGTCCAGGGCACCTTCTCRAATTGTAGAGTTCTCCTGGGCATCCATCTCTGAAGAGAGTCCTGTTGCTAAGCCAGCTTCTGTACCTTCTCCTCAAAGGTACATCTTCTTGAATTTTCAGTGACACATTTCTGCCCATTTTCGGTTTTGCATTTCTGTATTTTTGTTTTCCATACTGCACTAGGAAATGCAGATCTTTCCATATCAGCTGCTTCCATTCTTGGCTGCAAGGTTCCTCCCTTGTTCTCCTCAGTTGCTGCAGCAGTCCAGCCACTTGCCAGTCCAGGACATCTCTGCACAAAGCTGGAGAAAGGCCAGCCTTGTATCAGATGCACCYGAATTGCAAACAACAGGAGATCATGTAGCCCTGGATGTGCTCAGCTCCTACTTAGGCAGAAAAGCTTGTCTCCGTGGCTGTAAGAAACAAAGAAGGGTACTGGGGAACAAAAACAAGAGCAGAGCCATCCCCAAAAGACTACGGATAGAGCTGTGGTAGCAAGCTCGACCACAGAGCTAGCAATGAGGACAGATGCACAACGCACTTGTGGACAGGACACAGGTACTAAAGCCATACAAAGAAAAAAGAGAGAGAAAGAGCAGTCAAGAGGTATTCTTTATTCTAAACAGTGAGTGTTATAGCATGGTACAGGCACAGAAAATGCTTACAGTCCAAGAGAGACAGGACCTGACACGAGACAGTAACTCAGAGCGGATGGGAAAGCTTCTTGGTAGGACTGGCCTTTCAGGACAACCTTAAAGGAAAAGGTGGCAAAGAGGGAGAAAGCAAATGGTTGGGAAAGGGGCTATGGGACAGGCACTTGGAAGCTGACATGGAAGATGGAAGG